CCCACTTCATTCTACCCATATATTATATGATTCAAACTCAAGATCTTTTCTTATCCCACTTCATTCTACCCATATATTATATGATTCAAACTCAAAATCTTTTATTTTCAATAAAAGGATATTATCCTCAATTACTTACATCATTAGTTTATAGACAAGAATATTAAAAAAAGATTAAAAATAATTAAAATTAAAAAGAGTAAGCTTTTATTAACTAATGATGAAAAAAATGATACATTAATATTGATACATGAGAATTTGGGTTATTTAGTTAATAACTTAATTATTTGAATAATTTTGGTCATCCAAAACTATAACCAAATTAAATATTTGATTTGAATTTGGTATGAAAGTCTAATCCAAAAATTTTTCAAAAAACCAAAAATTTGGTTTGGTTTACACATTCCAAACCGAATGTCAAGCCCTGTTCCTAACAATCAAGGCACAAAACATAAGGCCCTAGTGGGAAAAACCAGTGAAACTAGACTAAACTGCAAACTCTTAGTTGGTAACGTGATTTTTTTCCAAACCCTTTTTAAAGTTACACCAATCAACTGCTCAAAATTTCAAAATTCCAAGTAAAGCATCTTTCTAGAAGAGAGAAAATAATGGTTAAAGACATAAAGGACAAGGAGGACGAAGAAAAAAGAAACAGACACGTTTTGCTTTAGTTTAAAGTCAAGTGGCCAATTATATTATAGTCTTATTAGGAAATTGCACATCACATTCATAAGTCAAACAATGAAAATGGACATGTGCTAATAAAAAAAAAAAAAGGGAAATGGTCATGCACTGCTATGGAAATTGGTATCAACCACAAGATTTGATGTTGGGATTGAAAGAAAAGATTTTCTTTCTAGTGCCTATATATAGGATTAAGAGATCACCCAAATTAGCATACAATATATGTAGAAACCTTTTTTAGTATTTAAATATGAAAAGTTCTCTAAAGTCTTCTCTTCTTCTCTTCCAAATTTTCTTGTTTTCCCTTCTTCCATTGAAGATCACAGCTTCACCAAGAACACAAGCAGAAGCTCTTATTCAATGGAAGAAAAGCTTGTCTTTTTCACCACCTTCTTTAAATACTTGGTCCACCAACAATATTGGCAATCTATGCAACTGGACTTTTATCACTTGTGATAGCTCTATGAGAATGGTGTCTGAAATCAACCTCATTAGTGCAAACATCATGGGAACATTAGCCCAGTTCCACTTCAGCCCATTTTCCAATCTGACTCGCTTCGACCTCCACAATAATAGTCTTGTTGGATCAATACCACCAGCCATTGGCAACCTATCCAAGCTCACTCACTTGGACTTGAGTTATAACAGTTTGGTAGATATTATGCCATCAGAGATAGGGCAGTTGAAGGAGCTTCAGTTTCTCAACCTTTTCAACAATAGTCTTAACAGCAGCATCCCCTATCAAGTTACCCATCTTCAAAAGGTAAGGTACTTGAATCTAGGATGGAATTCCTTAACAACACCTGATTGGTCGAAGTTCTTGGGCATGCCATCGTTGATTCATCTTGAATTTTCATTTGATGATTTGAAATCAAATTTCCCTTATTTCATCATCAATTGTCCAAATCTTACTTTTCTAAACTTGTCATTCAATTCCTTGACTGGAGCTATACCGGAATTAGTGTTCACTAATCTGGTTAAGCTTGAGGCCTTGAGTTTTAGTCATAATAAATTCCAAGGTCCAATCCCATCTTCTTTAGATCAACTCAAAAACCTCAAGATACTTGATCTTAGTTCCAATTTCTTAAATTCTACCATACCTTTTGGTCTTGGTTCTTGCATTAATCTCACCTTTTTGGCGTTAGCCAACAATCAACTCACTGGGCAATTACCTCTATCCTTCTCTAATCTCTTAAAAATCTCCAAGTTGGGTTTGTCTGACAATTTTCTTTATGGTCAAATTCCACCCTCTCTTATTGGCAATTGGACCCAATTGATCTCATTACAACTTCAAAACAATAATTTTACTGGTAAGATTCCATCTGAAATCGGCTTATTGACAAAGCTGAGGTTTCTCTATCTGTATAACAACAAGCTCTCTGCCTCTATTCCCTTAGAGATAGAGAATTTAAAGAATCTTGTACAATTAGATCTTTCAGGAAACCAACTTTCTAGCTCAATTCCTCTAACACTTTGGAGTCTCCCAAACCTTCAAATACTGCGCCTCTTTGGTAATAATCTCACTGGCATTATCCCTCCAGAGATTGGAAAGATGGTATCTCTACAATCTCTTGATCTTAACACAAACCAACTAAATGGGGAATTGCCAGCAAACATTTCGAGCCTTACCAATTTAGGTGCAATCTCTTTGTTCAACAATAATTTCTCAGGTAGCATCCCTAGAGATTTTGGGAAATACAGTCCCTCATTGAGGTATGTGAGCTTCTCAAACAATAACTTCTCTGGAGAACTACCACCCGAATTGTGTAGTGGCTTCCTCCTTGAAAATATCACTGTCAATGGCAACAAGTTCACTGGCTCATTGCCAACTTGCCTTAAGAATTGTACAAGTTTAAAAAGGGTCCTGTTTGATGGGAACCAATTTACAGGTGACATCACAAATGCATTTGGGGTTCATCCAAACCTAGATTTTATTTCTCTAAGGGATAATCAATTTACCGGTGAAATGTCTTCGCAATGGGGGGAATGCCAAAATCTCACCAATCTACAAATGGATAGGAATAGAATTTTTGGCCAAATACCTGCAGAGCTTGGTAAATTGAACCAGCTGCGTATTCTTAGTCTTAGCTCCAATGATTTATTTGGGAATATTCCTGATGAATTGGGAAATTTAAGCAAGTTGTTCAATTTAAGTCTTAGCAAGAATCATTTGACCAACCATATACCTCGAGATATAGGGGACTTGCAAAATCTTATATATCTTGATTTGTCAGAGAACAACTTGACTGGAAGTATACCAGAAGAGTTTGGGAATTTTAAAAACTTACTGAGATTGGATTTAAGCCACAACAATATATCCGGTGATATCCCACATGAGCTTGGAAACTTAATTTCAATTCAAATCATACTTGATCTAAGCAGCAATTCACTTTCAGGAGCAATCCCACAAGATTTGTCAAAGCTTGCATCATTGGAGAATTTTAATGTTTCACATAATCATCTCTCTGGTAAGATTCCAGCAAGCTTGTCTAGTATGATTAGTCTCCTCACCTTTGACTTCTCCTATAATGAGTTGACAGGTCCAATTCCAACTAGTAGGCAATTTCAAAATGCTTCTAGTGAAGCCTTTGTTGGAAACTCAGGTTTATGTGGAAATGTTAATGGATTGACCCCTTGTAGTTCTAGTTCCAGGAACAACAAGTCTAGCAAGATTAACACCAAGGTTCTTACTATTGTCTTGGTTCCTATTTGTGCCATCTTAGCTCTAATATCTATTGCTATAATGATTCTAATGCATCGTGGTCGCAACAAACTACATGATGAGGAAGCTAAAAGAAGGTCTAGGAGTGATGAGACAATGATATGGGGAAAGGAAAGGAAATTCACATTTGGTGAAATTGTAAAAGCTACAGAAGATTTTGATGATAAGTACTACATTGGAAGAGGAGCATTTGGAAGTGTTTACAAAGCCTTGTTGTCCAGAGGTCAAGTTGTTGCTGTTAAAAAACTTAGTATACCAAACTCTAGTGATATTCTAGCTACAAATCTCCAAAGTTTTGAGAATGAGATTCGTGTTCTGACAGAAATTAGGCATCGGAATATTATTAGGCTATATGGATCCTGTTCAGTAAGTGGATGCATGTATTTGGTTTATGAATATGTTGAGAAAGGAAGTTTGAGAAATGTACTATATGGAGTTGGAGAAGTGGAGCTAGGATGGGCTACAAGGGTGAGAATTGTGAAAGGATTGGCTCATGCCCTTGCATATTTGCACCATGACTGCTCTCCCCCCATTGTTCATCGAGATATCTCTTTGAATAACATCTTGCTTGAGTCAGAACTTGAGCCAAAACTCTCTGATTTTGGCGTAGCAAGGTTCCTAGATCCAAATTCTTCCAACTGGACAATAGTTGCTGGATCGTATGGTTACATGGCACCAGGTAAGTTTCATGTTTGATAGATGCGTGTTGATTGATAATGTTTCCTTAGAAACAACATCTAACAAATTGTTCTTTATTTTGTTTTCTTGTTTTTTAGAGCTTGCACTCACAATGCGAGTAACAGATAAATGTGATGTTTATAGCTTTGGTGTGGTAACATTAGAAGTTATAATGGGAAGGCATCCAGGGGAGCTTTTGAACTCTTTATCATCACCAACATTTTCATTAGATAACAATGAGGTGCTTCTACAGGATGTACTAGACCCTCGACTACCATCTCCCACTCGCCAAATAGCAAAGGAGGTTGTGTTTGTCGTCAAGATCGGGTTAGCCTGCACGCGGATGGTGCCAGAGTCTCGACCCACCATGCGATTTGTGGCACAAGAATTGTCAACAAGAAAACAAGCCTGCTTGGTAGAACCTCTAGAGACAATAACCATTAGCAAGCTCATTTCTGGCCATTAGAAATAGAATGAAAGATAGACTTGCGTGTGTAAGTTGCAATTTGGTAAAATCATAGACATTACCAACCAAATCCTAGGTTTGAATTTTAGTCTTTCTTTATAAATAAGATTTTAGGTAAAACCATAGACTGTGCGTTTAATTTTCGTTTCATATGTATATAAGAATGTTACAAATAAAATTATGAGGTTATTCACATACCAGTTGAGGAATTATAATCTACTTGAAGAAAGTAAAGATCCTCCAATATAATTCATAGCGTTAAAAACACAATCTAAAGAGATGACACATAAAATTCTTGAAAAAATTTTAATCTTTGCTTAAGTTCAGGTATACACCAGAAAATCCTGAATGTTTTGCTTTTGAGAAGTGAGGTGTCATTTGAAAAAGTTTTCCATTAACTTATTTTCTAAATCTCATCCAAACACCAAAAAATATAGGAAATGGCATTCGAAAAATAAATCAATGGAAAATAAGATAAGTAAACAAAAAATATCTTTCACAGTTTCTAGAAAATATGTGTTCGGCATCAGAAAATAAGGTTATTTTCTATCTCTATTTCCATTAAAAAATAAAAAATGAGTAAAAAAACTTGTTTGGCATTTGAAAATTAAAAACCATTTTCTTTAAAAAAAATCCTGAAAAATAGAAAACAACTAAAAAGTTGTTTTCCAAAATAGAAATCATGGAAGTCCTTAATTAGGAAAGAAAATAAGTTGCACACGGAGGGACTTATATGAAACATATAAAGATATTTGTCCTAAAATTGTTAATTGTTAGAATTTACCGCCCATATAAAGCTAACCAGTTTCATTTCTGATGAAATCCTAACATCTTCTCCACAATTCAAACACTCTTTTCCACTCTTCCCGCTAATGGCTTCCTCCTTTTCTCATCTCTCCAACTCTTCGATACATTCCTCCCTCTTCCCGAATCTAATAACTTCCGTTGTCTCTTCTCTTTCCACCTCCATAGATCTTGTTGACGGCCATTCGGGATCTACTTCTATAAAACTCAACGTCTCTAATAACGTCATCCGGCTTTGTTTTCCATATGTTCTTCAACCATTTGGGATTCGGTCAGCACCTGTTTTTCTCCTCGATTTTGATTTTACCCTTGTTTTGCATTTTATCTGTTGGTGCTTAGTTCATATACTCTTCTGAATCATTTTCACCAGCCAATTGTCATGTGTTTGATTTAAATTTGTTTTTACTGGTTTGGAAGCTTATGATCTATATATTGTTGTTCCATTGTTGTACCTATGATTTTGATAATTACAAAACACATTTGAGTGACTGATTGGCTTATTTAAGTGTGTAGTTAAAATGTCAAAAGATTACAAAGTAAATAAACTTGGACTGCACTAAAAATGGACCAAAAGGCTTAAAAATGTGCAGAGAGCTGGCTGTTAAAACTAGCAGCTAGCTGTGGAAGTGCAAAGAGCCAGCTCTGGAGGCTACAGCCTGCTCTACAGGTAAAACTTTCAAGTTCGTTCTTTGGCGCACGTGAAAAACAAACGCACAGCCGACTTTGACTTTGCAGCCGGCTGTAAGAGCGCATTTAATGCACAACGGTCAAGTAATTTGAAGATTATTTAATGTTTTTAAAGTTGGAACCCAAAGCCGGCTTCAGACTTTACAGCCGGTTGTGAAAGAAAACATAATGTGCAACAAACCCGTAAACCGGCTACAAAATTTTGAAGCTGGCTCTACAGAGAAAACAAAATGCAAGAAACCTGCAGAGCCAGCTGCAGAAAAGTTAAGCCGACTATGAAGAGCCAACTGTGCTGACAATTTTGCAACTCGAATTAAGCGACCTGCAGAGCATTAACTGACCCCAACGGCTAGTAACGGCTATTTTCAACCACGAGACTATAAATATGGTTGGTAGCAAACCTAGAACAAGTTTAGAGAGCATTGTATTGAATATCTTTACCTACCAACTAGTGCTTTAACTTGAGTATTTGATCTTTGAAAGATCTTTCCTTGTAATCCTCTTCTTGTTCTATTTGTGAGTGATCTTGGCGGTGTAATTATTCCTTCAAGAGTGATCTATTGATAGGATTCTTAGGGTTTACATTGTAAAGGGGTGAGATTTGAGAGAAATACTCATCTTCTTGCAAAAGGATTGAGTGGCTCCTTTAAGCCACCCTTGATTTTGTTAGTGGAGAGTGTGAAGGAAATCCTTGGTGAGTGAAGCCAAGGTAGAGGACTAGGTTCCAAGTGGTTGGACCTAACCTCTATAAAATCATTAAGTAAGCTCTTCTTCTCTACTCTCTTTAATTTTGGTTTTGTGGTTGCAAAAAATTGAGAATTTTTGGAACTCCAATTCATCCCCCCTCTTGGAGTGCATTAAGTCAACAGTTCCATGGAATTCTTTTGTCTTCCTACATCAAATTTTGTGTTCATTTTAATGATTCTTTTAATGTACTTTGTAATGCTTCTTTAACATGATATGTTATTGTTGGAAATTAGATACTATTATTTAGCCATTATCTCTATAATTTAGGAAGTTTAAGTTATTTATTTGTTTGAGGTTGTTATAATTTAAATTAGATTAGATAAGATTGGTTGATTATCTTTCTAGATAATGTTATCTTGTAAAGCCTATTTAAAGGCTAGTTATTTTCATTTTAACGTGAATTTGATTCCCATTCCATTTTCTTCTTCTCTAGAATTCCTTAATTTTTTAACATTTTGTATCAGAGCCTATTCTTGACAAATTCCATGGCTTTCGAAAATTATGTTCAGCCCTCAATCCCTCATTTTGATGGTCATCACTACAACCATTGGAGTATGTTGATGGAGAATTTTCTCTGGTCTAAAGAGTATTGGACAGTTCTTGAAGCTGGAATTCCAGATCCAGCGTCAGGTGCAAATGATGCACAGATGGCAAAAATTGAGAAGGAAATGTTGAAGGATCTCAAGGCTAAGAACTATTTGTTCCAAGCCATAGATTGGGCTATTTTGGAAACAATTCTTAACAAGTCTACTTCCAAGACTATTTGGGATTCCATGAAGAAGAAGTACCGAGGGAATGAAAGAGCAAAGCGGTAGCAATGCCAGGCTTTGCAGGTAGAATTTGAAAGTCTGCAGATGCAAATTGGTGAATCTATAGATGACTATTTTTCAAGGATGATGACAATTGCAAACAAGATGAGGATCCATGGTGAAAATCGAGAGGACGCTGCCATAGTTGAGAAAATCCTTCAGTCTATGACAACAAAATTCAATTATGTTGTCTGTTCAATTGAGGAGTCGAATGATATTGAGGCACTTTCCCTTGATGATTTGTAGAACTCATTGTTAGCTCATGAGCAAAAAATAAACCACCAAGATAAGCAAGAGCAAGCAGTGCAGATTTCACAGACGCAAGCCTTACAAACCATAGTTAATTTAAGGGTTGCAAGTCGAGGAAAAGGAAACTGGAAAAACAGATCAAGATATGACAGGCCGAGATCTAGCAGATTAGAGGAAAGTTCAACCACTGGAAATCAGAAGAGGTGGCAGAATAGAAATTATCAAGTTACAGATAATATATCCAAATTTGTAGGTAAGGCAAATGTTGAATGCTTCAGATGTCATAAGTATGGCCATTATCATTCTAAGTGTCATGCTAATCTAAATAGAGGAGAAAGTTCTAACTTTGCAGAACACAGTGAAAAGAATGATGATGCCTCGCTATTCATGGTCTATCATCCTAAAGAAGTTAGCAAGAAGAATGTGTGGTATCTCGACATTGGCTGCAACAACCACATGTGTGGGGACAAATCTGCATTTTTAGATCTAGATGAATCTTTTCAAGACAAGGTGAAATTTGGTGATAATTCTACTATTGCAGTCAAGGGAAGGGGAAAAGGAAAGATAACGATTCGTGCCAAAGACAATTCAGTTCAAACTATTGCTAATGTTTTGTATGTACCAAATCTGAAGTCAAATCTGCTTAGTTTGGGACAACTTCAGAAGAAAGGATATGAAATCCTGATTAAAGATGGAGTTTGCCAAGTTCGTGACTCAAAGCTTGGCTTAATTGCAAAGGTCAAGATGATAGGAAATAGGTTGTTTCCATTGTACTTGCAAACCATAGATCTGTCATGTTTATCTACCAAATTGAAGAACACAGCTTGGTTATGGCATTGCCAATATGGACATCTTTATTTTGGTGGGTTGAAAGCCTTGCAGCAAAACAAGATGGTAAATGGTCTTCCTCATTTTGATTCTCCTTTAGAAATTTATGAAATCTATGTAGTTAGTAAGCAGCACCATGACAGCTTTCCTAAAGATAGATCTTGGAGAGCAAAGCGGGTGCTAGATTTAGTTTATTCTGATTTGTGTGGATCCATAAATCCAACATCCAATGGAGGTAAACAATACTTTATTACCTTTATTGATGATTACAGTCGCAAAACATGAGTGTATTTTTTACATACCAAGTCAGAAGCCTTAATAGCCTTTAAAAATTTCAAAGTCTTGGCTAAGAATAAGGTTGGCAAATCTGTAAAGGTTCTATGTACAGATTGTGGTGGTGAGTTTAACTCAAAGGAATTTGCAGATTTTTGTGAGTCTAATAGTATTACAAGGCAACTCATAGTAACTTATACACCTTAGCAAAATGGTGTATGTGAGAGGAGGAATCACACAATCATGAATATGATGCGAAGTCTGATGTCAAAGAGCGGCTTGCCTAAGGAGTTTTGGCTAGAAGCTATAAATTGGAGTGTTCATATCTTGAATAGAAGTCCCACATCTCCACTTCTAGATATGATGCCAGAAGAGGCTTGGAGTGGACGCAGACCTGCTGTTGACTATTTCAGAATTTTTGGGTGCATAGCATAAGCACATGTGCCAGATCAGAAAAGGAGTAAGCTTGATGACAAAAGGGAAAAGTTTATTTTCCTTGGTGTTAGTGATAAGTCCAAAGCTTACAGATTATACAATCCTATAACCAAAAAAGTCATCATTAGCCATGACGTAGTGTTTAATGAAGCAAGCACTACGTCTTGGACACAAAAACCTAGGCGACAGATTCCTACAAATTTCAAAAATGGAGAAGATCTGATTGTACAGAACTCAGGAGGTCAGATGCAGCAAAATGAAGGTTTAACTTCAGCAGACTTTGAGGCTTCAAGAAAGGCAGAAGAGGAAAGTCTACCTACAACAGAACACAGTACTGAAAGAAGTCTGTCAACAACACCAGAGCTAGAATTTGAAACTAGTTCAAGACCTCAACGCAAAAAGAGAAGACTAACATGGTTGGAGGATTATGAGGTAACAAATCTACCTCAAGATGGTGTTCTAGTTACTCATTTTGCTCTATTTGCAGACTGTGATCCTTTGATATATGAAGAGGCTGTTAAAAGAGAAAAGTAGCAAAAAGCCATGGTAGAAGAAATTGGTTCTATTAAAAGGAACTAGACTTGGGAGTTGACAGATCTTTCAGAAGGGCACAAGACAATTGGTGTTAAGTGGATTTACAAGACAAAGCTCAAAGAGAATGGGGAGGTTGACAAATTCAAAGCTCGCTTAGTGGTAAAGGGTTACAGGCAAAAGTTTGGCATTGATTATCAGATTGGTGATTGCATTGGCAGCACAAAACTCATGGTCGATCTACCAACTTGATGTGAAATCGGCCCTCTTGCATGGAAATCTACAAGAACATGTATTTATTGATCAACCTCCTGGTTATGTGAAATCTAGTTTTGAGCATAAGGTTTATAAACTGAAGAAAGCATTCTATGGACTAAAACAAGCACCTAGAGATTGGTATAGTCGAATTGATGCTTTCTTGAAGGAAGGTTTTCAAAAGTGCCCTTATGAGCATACACTTTACATCAAATTTGGAGATGAAGGTAAATTGATTATAGTATGCTTATATGTTGATGATTTAATTTATACTAGGAATGATCTTGGAATGTCAAAAAAGTTCAAGCAATCCATGAAGCTTGAATTTCATATGACAAATTTGGGTTTGTTGCATTATTTTCTTGGTCTGGAAGTAGTACAGTCAGATTCTAGAATTTTTGTTTGTCAAAAAAAAATATGTGCAGGAAGTTCTGGACAGATTGCAAATGAAGAATTGCAATTCTGTCACTACACCAGTTGACAAAGGAGTGAAGCTTATGAAAGATCCAGATGGTAGATCTATGGACAGCAAACTGTATAAGCAGATTGTTGGAAGTCTGATGTATCTGACAGTAACTAGACCAAACATAATGCATGGTGTAACTCTGATTAGTAGATACATGGAGCATCCAAAGGAGTTGCACTTGCAGACTGTTAAAAGAATTCTCA